GTAAAGCTCTGAACTGTCAAAACACAAACTTCATATATTCATCAAAATAAAAGTTAACAAAGAACTTGATAATTTGTTATTAAAACAAAACTCTTTCCTCGTTTTTCCCCATGTACAAGTTTTTTTAACCAAACATTTAATCTACCTGCAAGATTAGYTAATCTTGCAGCCATAGTGTTTGTACGCATTTTTTTATGTTGAGAACTTTAAGWTAATTTCAGTCTAATGAAGATGCTAACATTTTAATGACCAAGCAGACACGTTTTTTTAAAGACTGTGATGTTCCTCTCCTGGAGAGTGACTATTTTCGAAACCAGGTTGTTTTTGATCAACGTAATCAAAATGTGGTCATTTATGACTGGAAGCCAGCTGTAAAATCTAAAATAATAATAATAAAAGTAAAAATTGGTGTACCTAATGTGTTTTTCCTGTATCTGGTCCAGTCTGATAGGTGCTGCGCCGGGCCGAGGCAGCTGTCCAATCCAGAGGCCTCTCACCTTTGACCTCATTTACACCGACTACCACGGCCTTGCTCACCTCCAAGGAGCCATGGGACTGGCTTTTCAGCATTACCAGTATGACCTGGGTCCTCCAAAGCACATGATGTGTATTTAAGAACAAATGCATGTCATGTTCTTTGTGATTACTTGTTTATCTAGAGCTTTTTGGTGATTTTAAAATGTAAAAGAATTGTCACATAATGATGTCAGGCACCTAATCAATTGAGTGGAAAATTAATTTCTTGGTAAAAAAAAAATTTAGGTGCCGCTTTAGGATTTTGGACTCGTTTGGAACTGAACCGGCCTTTAACCTGGGAACTTACGCTCGAAGTCGTGGATATGAAACCCAGTGGGGCAGCTGGAGTCTCCATCCTCTGCAGTATATGACCATGTTCCGTAAGTCTGAGCACTGACTCTGTAACATTTGATACAAGTGTAGAATACAAACTCATACAAAATCATAGTATAAAGAATAACAGCTCCAGTTCAGTGAGACATAACTCAGACTCCACCACCTCTCTGTGTCATCTGTTCCGTCCTGCTGGGAGATGGAGACGAGCTGGAAGCAGCAAGTCCAGAGGCGCACATCATTCGTCAGCCTGGGACTTTTTGTTTATTTGCCCTGCTAAGCAAGAAAGGAGATAAATGTTTGTTGAGAATGTGAGGAGGACTGAAAGAATTTGAAACTAAACAGCAGAGAGATGACAAATGTCATGTAGGATGGAAGAAAAAAAAAGACTGGAAAGTACTTAAGCTTCTGTRGTGTGAAAATGCCGTGGGAATGATAGGGATTAGCAAAACTCTAGTTTGACAACAAAATTGTCAAAATCAACAAAAGGCAGTTTCAGCCACAGCTTTTTACTGTTATTTGATTAAAAATGATCTCCAAAATTTTACTTAATACTGGAGTTAACTGATAAGTACTGTTTAATCCAGTAAAGCCTGTTTTTGGAACTTTGAGAAGTGGTAAAGTAAGTATTTTTCCATCAAGAGTATCTTCCTGAAGTTGTATATTCAGAGAGACACTGAAGCATCTTCTCAACAACATCCTGAGGTACTGGTTTAAAATCAAATTGCAGTTTTTACCACACATTATATGATCAACTAATCTGCACGAGTCACTGTCAGTGATATTCAGGTCAGATCACAAATTGTTAACTTTATTAAAATAATTTGCTATATCAAATGGCCTTGTGATGAACTGCCCCTCACACTCTACAAATTTGGTGTGGTCATAGCGGATGGTTGTTCTGTACATAAGAGCTAATAAATCTCATGAGATGTCATGTGAGATTGCACATAATTTACAAAGTTTGGCCAAAATAGCATCAAATTAATCTCTTCTTATTATAAGATTGTCTCAGTTTAAAGCACTGGCAAGAAAAGGTGATGGGCGATATGCAGTGGTGGGCAGCACTAATCTAAAAATTAGTTCCACTAGTCCTAAAACACTAACTCAAATATTTAGGTCCCCTAATTCTAAAGCACTAATGCACTGAAAGTTTTAGCAAAAGCTAATTCTAAAGCACTAAAATAATCCAGTCAACCCATGAACATTCTTCAACAGGCAACATGAGTCACATGTTACCACGTTGCTCTCTTACGCCTTATCATTGACATTCCACAGCTGTGTTTGAGTTCATATATTGTCAATATGTCACCTGCTGGATAAGTGACACACATATGAACAAAATATGGGACAGYTTTCACCCTCAGCTGTTAACAATAACTGTGATCAATAACATTTATAGACCTCAGTTAGTGCTGCTAARTTTAGCCTATGAATTTAGCAAGTGCTAATCCACAAATAAATAGTAAAATTAGCACAAAGCCCTAAAGCACTAATCAGGAAATTAGTTCTCCGATATGCATTTTTTCAAGAATGGATYGAAGGTTCGTTTTTGCAACTCTTCTAAGGCTGCATGATCGTATCAGCTTTTCAYTGCCTATCACTGCTGATCTGAGGAGTGTGTTTAAAGCTGTGAACTCAGACAGGTGTTGGAGACAAGTGGAGCTGAAAAGCAGGAAGTTTTGTTTTGGATGAACGAGGACAGTTTTGGCAAATGTCTCTTAAACAAATGCCATGAGACACAGGAGAGGCACACATTCTTTGTAAAGTAAATACTCATCTCCAGCACCTTCTCCAGCGTGTCAGACAGCAGCAGCTGCCTATCCAAACACCCCGCCTCCTCTGGAGTTCATATTTCCACTGACAAATGATTAACTGTGAACAGCATGTTTTCCCTCTCTGACAGAAATTCAATATAAACTGCTCTCCTAAGCGTTGTCAGTTCTGGTGGCCAAACGTAATACTCTTTTGTACTTGAGCCACATTTTTCATGATCAGCTTATTTTTTAATGTAATCTTTGCTGAATGTAATGGTTCAACATCTTTGATCTTTCAGCTCATTCTCCTGACAATTCCTTTCTGGGCTTCGTGAGCGAAGAGGCAGTGAAGGATGAGGAGCCTGGGTCAGAAAGTTCCAAGAAAGACAAGATAGCAGTTGTCTATGGCAAACAGGAATACATGTGGCAGGTAAAATAATAATAGGTRATTATTACAAAATAAATAAATAAAATGGTGACTGCAAGAAATGTGTCTAAAGATTAACCATGGCAAAATTTTACATGATAACGATGAGGTTTTTTTCTTCCTTTATGGGATAGACTGGCAAAAGTCTAAAGTTTTTCCTTTTGGTCATTTAAAAAGATTTAATTATAATACTAACAATACATTTTATTCATAAAACGCCTTTCAGGACACCCAAGGACACTGTACAATAGAAAAAAAGGAAAAAAAACTGTAGATACATATAATGATAAGGGTAGTGTGGGAGAAACAGAAATGTGGAATACTGAACAGTCATATAAAAAATACAAATATGTAGACAAATTGAACAATAGCATTGTGGGAGAGAAACATCGAAGTAAGGACAACAAAAACAGACATTGAAAATCGGAGTTAACAGTTGTAGGCTAATTTGAAAAGACGTGTCTTCAGGCCTGTCTTAAACAGGGAGAGAGAGGTGGTATTGTGTAATCCATGGGGTAGTGAGTTCCAGAACTGCGGAGCAGAGCGGCTGAAAGCTCTGCTCCCCATGGTGCTGAGGCGGGCAGAGGTATTGAGAGTTGGAGGGAGGAGGCAGATCTTAGAGAGCGGGAGGGTGTGGAGATGTTTAGGAGGTCAGATAGGTAAGAAGGGGAAAGATAGCTTTGAAGGTGTGTAGGAGAATTTTGAAGATGATGTGGGATTTAACTGGGAGCCAGTGAAGCTGTTTTAGGACTGGAGCGATGTGGGCAGAGGATAAGGTTTGAGTGATTACATGGGCTGCTGAGTTCTGAACCATCTGTAGTTTATGAAGGGATTTATTGGGGAGGCCAAACAGTAGGGAGTTGCAGTAGTCGATCCTGGATGTAACTAGGCTGTGTACACGGATGGCAGTGGAGCAGGGAGTGAGTGAAGGACGGAGACGGTTAATGTTGCGGAGAAGAAAGCAGGCAGATCRAGTCATGTTGTTGATGTGGGATGTAAGTCAAGATGCTGGGATTTGGAAATTGAGTTTTTTGTCCCAACAAGGAGGAGTTCAGTTTTGTTATTGTTTAGTTGGAGGAAATTGTTGGAGAACCAGTTGTTGAGCTCACTGAGGCAGTCAGTAAGAGTTGAGGATTGTAAGGTGGAGTTCGGTTTTGTCGAAATGTAGAGCTGAGTGTCGTTGGCATAAGAGTGGAAATGAACACCAAATTTACGGAAGATGTGGCCAAGCGGGAGCAGATAGATTATGAAAAGTAGAGGCCCGAGGACAGAACCTTGGGGAACACCAGTGGAAATCGGTGAAGACAGGGAACGGAAGGACTTGAGCAGTATGAACTGAGTGTGTTCGGAAAGATATGTTTTAAACCAGTCCAGTGGGGTGTCTGAGATGCCGATAGAGCTTAGATTTAAGAGTGTGGTGTCCAGTCCTGGTTCTCGAGGGCCACTATCCTGCATGTTTTAGTTGTTTCTCTGTTCTTAAGTGTGTCTTCAAGCTCTGCAAAAGCACGCTATTTACTCATTTAAATCAGAAACAGAGAAATCTCTAAACTATAGGTTAGTGTTCCTCGAGGACCAGGATTGGGCACCACAGATTCAGGATGCTGGCAGCTGGCAGTCAAAAGGGAGCGTATCCCTGTGAGGGTGAGCAGCAAAACATACTTTAGTAACCAGAAATAGTCTACCTGTTAATTTCATTTCAATTTCAAGTCAGTCTACAAAATATTCAGCTCCTTCCTCAGCAGGAAACAGATTTTTATATTCATCTATTCTCCWTTCAAAGCCACCAGATATCAACATATGTTTCTTTTTTTAAATGATATATGGATTATTCAGAACTACAATGGGGGGGACCCAAAATAACATGTTAAAACATATATACATATTTACATATATACATATT